AATCGACTGCTGAGTCCACCAACATGTCAATCCTTGACAGCGAGCATCTATCTTTCGGACGGGCAGAGTTCAAGTTGATGAAGTCGACACACATGCTCTATTTGTCATTGGCCTTCTACACCATCACCACGTTCTACACCCAGGTTGGATACTGCATCTCTCGGATGTGCTGGGCTTTTAGTTGTTTTCACACCTTGCGGATGTTTAACCAAAGTGACAGCTGAAGTCCTCGTATTATGCTTCAATAGCCGGGCGACAAGATTGATGTTCAGCTGGCGACAAGCAAAGTTGATTGATATTCCTGACTTTCCGTGGCTGACAAGCAAATACGTCTTTGTGCTCTCGAAGAATTTGGATTAGCAAGACCTTCGATCATGAATCAAAAGCCTCACTTAACAGAAAAAATTTACTGGGCGCTCCTTGGGCCATAGGGATTTAGTGGGTGTTCTTGCTAGTCTTGAGACCCCCTTCGTGCAATACTGAAGGCCGAGCAGCTCCTGCTCTACGCTTCTGACCGCCCAAAGGTAGTAGGCCTTGGATTGCCCCAAGTTGGCTCGAAAGGTGATGACCTCCCCATCATCCAAAAATTTCACTGTAATGTAGTATATCAAGACTACGGCCTTGAAGTCATTAAACAAGGGGTGGTCGAAGATGGCGTCGTAAGTTGGCGGCAAATCAACTACCATAAAATCTTCCATGTGAGTAAAATGCTTCTCACCTTCCCTAGTGATCGCCAGGGTGATTACTCCTAAGGCTTCCTTTCTCTCATATGAGAAGCCGTAAAAAGGTCTGATCAGTGCAATCAACCGGCCGTCCTTAAGTCTTATCTTGTCGAACACCGACTAGAATAAAATCTTCACTGAGCACCCAATGTTGACAGAGAAAATATTGATCTTGATATTGCTTATCAAGGTAGTAATGACAATAGCGTCGTTGTGAGAATTCTCCTTGTGGTGCATATTTACGTCGATGAATGTACTCGGTGGATGCAAGGCACGCCTCAGAGTAAAGGCAACTGAGCATAGTTCTCCCAACCGAGTCTCTTCTAACTAGCCCATCGGGATGAATCTCCACCTTCTCCAAAGATTGTTGGTATCACCCTAACAATGTGAATGGCGTTCGCTCAGATCGATTAGTCCAATATTTCCTCCAATAGGGACTTCCCTTGCCTCTAGGTCGCTTCTCCCGACGCCATAAACTCCTTGAGTTTTTAGCTTTGATCAGTTCTTCGACCAGGCTTTGGAAGCATCAACATTCCTCCAAGCACAATATTTTTTTGGGTCCTAGAGAAAAGCTCCAATCCTCATCGATGGCGCCTTGTTAAAATAGTCTTATTTTGGAAGACCTATACTATCTAAACTATGGAGACACTCAACGGAGTCTTCTTCCGTGCTTCATGATGAGCGGGCGGGCGCTCGCTGTAATGATCAAGCTGTTGGTCAAAGTGTTGAGCTTGACTTCGTCGGTCAACCTGTCGACTCCCCACTTGTCTCGAGGCATCCGATTGTGCTCATACCGCGAGCGAGCAGAAAGCCGCCAGTCTTCCCCCGAGCTCCACCTGTCGTCCTTTGGGGTCTTCTTTTGCAGACGACGAGTAGTTGATTCTGCTCTGGCAAAAGCAGGGGTGGAATTGTACTCCTCGGCCAAGATGCGAATGTTGGCCAGCTCCAACAATTCGGCTCTTCAGTCGTTGGAGGCCCAAGGAGTAGCAAAAAAGTCTCACTTTCATCATTGGTCAACTTTGGAACATAAACTATGTTACCTCAAAGGAGCTCCTGAAAAAGGAATTATATGTCATAATCATGGGCATAGAAATACTGAATGTTTCTCAAATGTAAATTGAGCACGTTCCAAGATTGATTGAAGATCCATTACTATATATTGTGCTTTTGTTAGTGGTAATTTGATCTCATGGAAGAGTAAGAAATATAATGTAGCACTATCCAGTACAGAATCTGAGTATTGAGCAATGACACAAACTTCAAGTGAATTAATGTGGGTCTCCCAATTCACGACTGAAATGAATTGTAAGATTATAATTCCAGGAAGGTTGTGGTGTGATAATGAAGTTGTAAGCCATATCTTCCATGAACGAACTAAGCACATTAAGGTAGATTGCTATTTTGTTCGAGAAAAGATTCAACAAAATTTGATTTCTACAGTTCATATAAAGACTGGGAAACAACTAAGGGACATCTTCACGAAGGCCCTAATGGAGCTACTTATATTTGTAACAAGTTGGGCATGATAAATATCTATGCTCCAACTTGAGAGGGAGTGTTATATAAAATATTAAATCTAGTGTTGGTATATTAGGAAGTTTAATATTAGGTAGCCTAAGTAGATGAAATCTAAGTAAATCACTTTTCTAGAAATATTTTTAATATATAGAAATAATAGTGTATATAAATATATAACATATGCTTTCAATTGTGAAACAAGATGAAATGAAGTTTTCCCATTACACTCTCTATAACCTATGTATATATGCAAGATTTTTATGCAAACCTAAGACAAAAAATCTCACTCTAATATCCCAAATTTTTTAGTACAAAAAAGGAATAAACCTATAGTTACGAAAATCAATAGAAACTGGTCAGACCATAGAATTTGCATTAATTTATAATCACCCATAAAACAGATAGTCAAAGCACTAAACTAGCAAAATTGCAAATAGTTGAATTGACTTGACCAAAAGATACAATAGAGATAATATAAAAAGCAACAAGCCTTTATCCCACTAAGTGTGGTTGGCTACATGAATCCTTTTTCTCCATTACATCCTATTGAGTGTCATATTTTCATTTAATTCTAGTAGAAAAATTTTTATACAATATGCCCAAGTTTTTTTAGGTCTACCTCTACCTTTCTTAAAATAAGCGAATCTAAAACATCTACTCTCCTAACTGGATCATCAGATGGTCGGTGTTTAATGTGACCAAACCATCTACGAGGACTCTCTGTAATCTTGTATGCAACTGGTGCTACATGAACCACATATATAGTCGTATTTTGTCTCTAAGTGTCAAGCCACTCATCCACCTAAGCATTCTAATCTCAGCAAAACTTAACTTCATTTTATGCTTCTTTTATAAAGGCCAACATTCTGCACCATATAGCATTGTAGGTCTCACAGCCCTTCTATATATTATATAAAATGAACCCAATATATTTAATGAAACCTTTTTCCACCATTTCTTCGTCATAGTCTACATTGGATGCCTACAAAATGTTGAATTATACCCAATGCCAAGAGAAATCTCAATGGTCTATATTTTGTGCTAACGAAAAGAAACTTGCAGAGTCATGCACTCAGCATCAGCTCAACAGTAACAGCTGGAACGAAAACCAGCAAAAGTAAAAAGCAATTTATAATTTATATTTATAATTTATAAATAGCACATAGAAAATGGAAAAATAACAGCCAGCTTTTACCAGAATTTTACAATCTAACAATAACGCGAAATTTTGTATAATAAATAGCGAATTCTGTTAGACAACCGAAACAGCTAGCTCCAATAATGAAAGTAGCTTGAGACTGATTCAGAAGGAAAGACTTACAGAAAATAATCCTTCCAGCCATTTTTAGAAGGGACATAGACATACATACCACACAGTTATTATGAATTTATATATCTAACACCTGTACTTCAATATTTACATTCATAACTCTCAAACCTACAAGAAAAGACTAATCTGCAGTTAGGGCTATAGGATGAGACCTGAATACGGAGGTGGGATCGAGGGAAAGGTGGGGAAGGCCGGGTGGCTATATTTGGTGGGTTGTAGGTGAGTTGGAAATCAAAGTTGTTGTAGGAAAGGGGTGGCTATATTTAATTATCTATATATCTAACACCTAAACTTTTATGTTTAAATGCATAATACTCAAATCTTTTACATTGAATCAAATATCAATATCACCAATTTTTTAAAAGTGAAATATGCATTTTCATACATAAACTTTTAGCGCCAAGGTGTCCTAAATATTAACATCAAACTCCAGTTGTTAGATATATAAATGCATAAGAATTGTGTGGTATGTATGTAAATTTCACTTATCTTTAAAAATAGAAGATAAAAATACTAATAAAAAAATTTTACCCACTTTTTTAAAAATGAAATAAAAATGAAAAGTGATTTAATACATGTTATTCAAAATACTTAAGATGACTTCGTATGTATAGCTTAAAAAATGTTGATATCATATAATAACATAACATCACGAAGTATAATATGACAATGAAATTAACCATCTAAAAAACCACATGAATAATTATTACTGAAATGATAAGGTTGTTTATATTATAAATTTAGTTAAATTTTAATGTAATTTAATTTAATTTGACTAATTATTTAAGATGTAGGGACATTCAGATAGCAACAGGCAGCATCAATTATCAAGAGAATGGCATCCCACCTGAAGCCCAGAATCCTTCATAAACAATAGATTTTTGTATCTCAACTTGACTATTACTCATTTCAATGTGCATGATAAAGTACATCCTAACCCTAGTGCCCTAAATTGTTAGCTGCAACAGTCATTTAAGAAATTTCTATTGACCTCTCTAAGGAATTTGTGCATTTATAATCAGTTCAAAATCCAATTAAACCTTGGTAACAATCTTCATTTATGAACTCAAACAAAGAATTAACCAAACCACACTAACACAAGTACTATTCGCCTAGATCCAAGTTAAGCAACCTAATAGAATTTGCAGCACAATTAGTACACATGTTCTAAATGGTTCAAACTATTTATCTGTTGTGAACGATAAACAAGTATAGTTTCAACAAAATAATAATAATAATAAGTATGGTCTCAACCAAAATAAAGATAACGAATGCAAGTAGGATTAAAATCAATTAAAATCAAACAGCAAGCATAACAGATTTGATCCAAAGTTTGTGGATAATCATGGAATTTCTACACAAGTTATTTATGCCAAAAGGACGGGGAATCTTGCAAAAGATTTACAAAGGAACAGAGATTAGCAGCAAACCATTCAAGCAGAATGTCAGTCATCGAGGCCATAATCCTCTCCGAAGTACTTGTCTACAAGTGTGTTAGCCATAACCCTCATCTCCTCATTCTCATGAAATTGAAACCTTTCCATGGCATCAATCCCATCCTCAAATTCAACAAGCTTCGGGCCTTCTCCATTGGGCATTCCTCGCATGACCTGCAAGCAAGTGCATTATTAAGAGAAAAGGAGAATTATTTCTAATGAGAAGTTGAATCAATCAATTCCAAATAGGAAGATTAGCATACAAAGCACTCAATTCTTATGTATTTGCATATCTAACATCTAAACCTTAGTTCTCACTTACATGCCACCTTAACTATGCATGAAAAAACGTATTTCATTTTTTAAACGTTAAAATAGCAGTGTTTTTTTGATGTAAAAGATTTGGGGTGAATAAATGTAAAAGGCATAGTTTAAATTTATATAATTAAATCTGAATTAGTACTAAAATAGGCTGATCAAATGGTAAGTGGATTAAAACCCCTAAAAAATGGATGGGTTCAATCCCCTCCCTCTCACAATGTTTACCTTCATTTCAAGTCAGCTAAAAGTTGAATTCAAGAAGGAACGAAATTGATTTGGAGTAAAGCAAGCAAGGCTCAAAATTATATCAAGTTTTAGTAAAACTCACTTGAACTAAACTCATTATCAACCTTACCTTAACCCTGAACTTCTTTACTATAAAGAATGGAAGCAAAAATATGAACAAGGCCTTTGAAAAAAAAAACAAGTGTGGATTCTAATTGTCTCTTATATGATGGGTCAGCCACCTTCTATGACGCTTTTTAAAATAAAGGAAGATTTGCATACAAAAAACCAATTCCTATGTATTTACTATTTGCATATCTAGCACCTAAAATTCATTTTTTATACACATGCCACCTAACCTATGAATGAGGTGTAGTTCAGTTCCTAAAAGTTAAAATGGTGGTCTTTTTCATGTGATATAAAAATTTGGGTGGTGGTATAAATATAAACAATAAAGTTTAGGTGTCAGATATGTAAATACATAGGAATTGGGTGGTATGAATGTAAATGCCCCTAAAATATATAACTGGCTTGGTGCTAACTTCATAAAATATATGAAATAGATGAAAGAAATCATATCCATGCTGACTCGTCGTTATTGTACTTGCCATGCAATCCAAAATTAGAGATACAAAATCAATATATAGAAGAAAAAAAGGGAAAAAAATATACCAGCAGTAGGAAACAGAATAAAAAGGGACAGAAGCTGCAAAATTTAAAACGTACTCACCAGTTCTAGGAATTGAAGGCCCAACCTTGCAGCCTCAACATCAGGAGATCTAACAAGGTTTAAAAAACCTGGAAGGCCACCATGGTTTACAAGCAAAACTAAATGGTTGACAATAATGTCGGGCTGCCGAACACCATCTCCGGGTGTAACACAAAGGTTACCTAACACAAATGCTACCTCCTTCCTGATGTCAAATGGTGCAGTGGAAAGAAGATCCAGCAGAATAAAAGTAACCTCACTGGAAAACACCAATTCCTTGTGCTGAAATGATCCTGCTGATATGTTAGAGAGCACCCAGGCCGCCTCCTGAACCATTTAGCCAAAAAGAAAGGAAGATTTACTTACATAACCACACAATTCTTATGTATTTACATCTCTAACACCTAAACAACAATTTTTACATACATACCACGTTACCTATGCATAAAAAGATGTCTTTCACCTTTTCAAAGTTAAAATGGCGGTATTTTTTTATGTAATATGAAAGATTTGGGCGGTATAGATGTAGAAAATAAAATTTAGGTGTTAGATATGTAAATACATAGGAATTGGTTGGTATGTATGTAAATGCTCCTAAAAGAAATCCGTGAGGAAGCAGAAGAACAAAATCCAACAGCCAAAGGTATTCAAATGAAAGAAGCACCTTCTTCAATGCACGGTTCTCGCTCTTCAAGCACTTTGCTAAAGCTGATATAGCATTATCTGAAAGTCACGAGGTGTTAGCTTAGAATCTAATGAACAAAATATCACTTTGGGGCTATTTGGCTGCCCGGAATTTAGTAAAGCCTTAAATTCGTAAATCAACCAATCCCTTGGATCAAGTAAATCCGGATTGAGGCCAAATCGAAGGTAAAATTGGATTTACTAAATCTGAAAAATTAGTAAATCCATAGTAGTCTTGCATTTTGCATGACTGGATTTAGTAAATCCAGCAATAAATCCTATTAAAAGCCTCTACCAAACAGCTCCTTAGTCATACAAGGTGCATAATAAGCATACCAGTGACATCCTGCCCAACAATGAGAACAGTGCTAGTCACATAATCCGCACCAGCTATAAGATTACCCAGGCTGCGAAGTACCTTCAAACAGCAGTCATCATTTATAAGCAAAGCATCAGAGAATCCCCTAATCCAGTTCTTTTAAAATATATAAAAGTCAAAAAAATTCATAATACCAGCAATTACATTAGAGACATTTACATACATACCACAAAATTCTTTTGTATTTAAATATCTAACACCTAAACTTCCATATTTATATATATATATAAATCTCAAAACGTAAACATCACAGCAAAAATATCACCATTAATAACTTTTCAAAAGTTAAATACACCTTTCCATGCATGGGTTTTTGACATCAAAGTGGTATAAGTGTAAATATCAAACTTTGGTTTTAGATATGTAAATATATAAGAATTGTTTCAACCCTTCATATTGTTTCACAAAACCTTCATATTGTTTCACAAATCTAAAACGTGTTTGTCTCTAATGTAAATATCAAACTTTGGTTTTAGATATGTAATGTAAATATCAAACTTTGGTTTAGATATGTAAATACATAAGAATTTCCCATTACATTGATAAAATATCAACATGTTTTCAACCCTTCATATTATTTCACAAAACCTTCACTTAATATTTAGAACATACAACAATAACAACAACAACAAGATGAACAAGAACAAGAACAACAACAACAACAAGCCCTTCATCCCACTAAGTGAAGTCAGCTACATGAATCCTTTTTTCTCAGCTGCGCTCTATTGAGTATCATGTTTTCATTTAATTATGATAGATTAAGATCATTTTTTATACAATATGCTCATTTTTTATAAGATCATTTTTTATACAATATGCCCTAGTCTTTCTAGGTATACCTCTGCCTTTCTTAGCATAAATCGAATCTGAAACATCTACTCTCTTAACTGAATCATCACCCATGGCCGACATTTAATGTGACCAAACTATCTAAGACGACTCTCTCTAATTTTGTCCGCCACTGGAGCTAGAACAACCCTATCCCGGATATATTCATTTCGCATTTTGTCTCTAAAAGTAAAGTCACTCATCCAACTAAGAATTTTCTTTTAAAGGCCAACATTCAGCGCCATAGAGCATTGCAGGTCTCACCACCATCATATAAATTGTTCCTTTTAGTCTAAGCAGTACTTTTCTATCACACAATAGGCCCGAAGAATTCCTACACTTCAACTAACCAACCCAACTTGAATTTGACTAATAACATCCTCATCTATATCACCATGACTTTGAAAAATAGACCCAATATATCTAAGGCATTCACATCTTTTAACAATTTGATCACCCATAGTTACAACTCTGTCACTAGAGCAACTGCTACTAAAATTACATTTCATGTATTCAGTTTTAGTTCTACTCAAACAAAGCCTTTAGACTCCAATGTAAACATCTTTTAATAATTTAATCACCCATAGTTACAACTCTGTCACTGGAGCAGCTGTTACTAAAATTACATTTCATGTATTCAGTTTTAGTTCTACTCAAACAAAGGCCTTTAGACTCCAATGTGGACCTCCAAAATTCAAGTTTTATTGAGTTTTTTCTCTAATCTTATCCACAAGAAGGATATCATCGATGAAAAGCATACACTAAGGTACGTCCCCCTGTAAATGTCCGATAAGAGCATCCATAACTAAAGCAAAAAGATATTGGCTTAAAGCCGATCCCTGATGTAATCCTGTAATCCAACTGAAATCCAACTGAAATAGAAAAATATTTGGTCAACCCTCCTTCTGTTCAAGCACAAAGAACAGCTCTGGTAGACATATATTTAATGACTTGAATATAATTTATATCAATACATTTCTTTCTTTAGAACTCTCCAAAGAATATCACTTCGAACCTTATCGCAATCTTTTTCTAAATCAAGAAAAATTATATATAGATCCTCCTTATTCTCTCTTTGCTTCTCCATCAAACCTCTTAATAAAAATGTATAGCTTCCATAGTAGACCTGCCCGACATAATCCAAACTGATTATAAGACGTCTTAACCTATGTTCAATTACACTCTCCCATAATTTTAAAGTATGACATATCAACTTAATCCCTCCATAATTTGCACTCTTGTGCATCCCCTTTATTCTTAAAAATGAGACCAAAAAACTCTTCCTCCACCACTCAAACATCTTTTTAGTTTTTAAAATAATATTAAAGAGTTTAGTAAGCCAATAAGCTCCCAAATTTCCTAAATATTTCCACACTTCAATTGAGATATCATCAGGTCCTACAGACTTTCCATCTTTGGTTTTCTTTAAAACCTTTTCAACTTCTTTTTTACTAATATGACGGTAAAAATGAATCATTTTATTATTATTAACGATATTAAGATCATTAAGGTTAATCAAATTTCCAAAAACTTTATTGAAAATTTCATCAAAATAGCTCACCCACCTATGTTGAATATCTTTTCTAAAAAGATACTATTTGATTTTCATCTTTAATATACTCGAGTTAAATTTTTACTTTTCTTTTCTCCTTGTTTTGTTGGTTTATACATATATTTTTCATCCCCTTTAGCATTTAATCTATCATAAAGATCACTAAAACCAGAATTTTTAGTCACAGATTGTTCTCTTAGACTTCCTATGAGTCATTTTATATTTTTCTCAATTCCCTAAACTTTTACATTTAAACCAATTTTTATAACATAACTTCTTATATTTTTTATATTTTGTCTTTCCTTGAACTTATATTTTGTCTTTCCTTGAACATTATTATTTCATCACAAACTATTTTTATTTATAGAAATTTTTCTTTTTAATTATTCAAGTACATCTTTTGTCGTTTGTTTAATAGTGTTTGTTGCATTATCACACATAAAATTTGCTTCTTCATGAACATCTCAAATCTTGAAATCTTAAAGTTTATTCATAAAAATAATTTTATTTGTGTCTTTTAGGTGCTCTCATCAAATTCTATGACAATGATTCATAGTATTCTTTATTTTACAACTCTTCAACTTAGAATCCATAACTAATAATGAATGTTGAATGCTTAAATCCTCACTTGAAATGACCTTGCAATCTATACATTCTCGGCAATCTCTTCTTCTCATAAGAAAATAATAAATTTGTGTTTTATTACATTAATTCATTTAAGTAATAATATGCTCATTTCTTTTCTTGAAAAAAGTATTAGCAATAAAAAAATCATACGCTAAAACAAAATTTAATATAACTCTACCTTCTTCATTAATCACTCCAAAACCGCAGTCATCATGAATATTTCTAAAATTTTCTAACAATCTATCGGCATATCCATTTAAATTTCCTCCAATAAAAATTCTTTCTTCAAGAAATATCATTTCCAAATTTTTTTTTTAAAACCTAAATCTAAACCTACTTAAGGAGCATAAACACTTATAATATTAAAAATCTTAGTAACAACAATAATTTTAAAAGCTATAATTATATCTCCAAGTCTATTAATTTTTACAACATTATCTTTCAAACTCTTATCATAATTACACTTACACCATTTCTAGTATGACTCTTACCTGAATACCAAAGTTTAAAACTTAATCTACTTAGTCTTTTCTCCAACCTATTTAATATCTTGAATACATAATAAATTTTCTTTCTATGAATCATAATATCAACTAGTTTCATTATCTTACATGTGAGTGTATCTATATTTCAAGATCTTATCCTAATTTAGATTTATGGACTAACTTTTTTACCTGCATCAGTCCATAAGTAAAACTCTTGCTTATTTGACACTATATTCGGACGCCGGTGTAGCGACCCTTACACACTTTTCACTGTATTCAAGCAATAAAACTCGTCGCTTCCAGAAAATGCACTAAAATTTACACAATGACTAAAAGGATTCATGTACTGATTTTTCGACAAATTTTACGCTTGTTCTCATTACCTAACGCAACCTTCCATTTTTCATATCTGGGGCTTAAGACCCGATAATGACAATGATATCAACTAATGGAAAGAAAAATATCAACACCCGGAGGCAAGCTTCAAGAATATCATCACTTGGGCATGATCTCAATTTCGTCACGTATCCAAACAACTAATCAAGTTCATGATTCATTTTTTTTAAAAAAGAGAAGATATACATGCATGCCACTCAATTCTTATGTATTTACACATTTATCTCTTTAACTTTGACTTTTACATATATGCCACTTCATATTTATCACTTTACAACTATGAATGAAAAGGCATATTTCACCTTTGAAAGTTAAAATAGTGATACTTCTGACGTGATATGAAAGATTTGGGTGGTAATAATGTAAAAACCAAAATTCAGGTGTTAGATAAGTAAATGCAAGATAAAAAAAAAAAAAAAAAAAAAAAAAAGGGATGAGTATGCAATCGCATAGAGAATAATATAACTGATCCCGATAAGACATGCCATGGGCTTCAACATATAATAAATGGCATTTCTACAGTTTACATGAAAAAAGCTTAGATATTTAGCAATAAAACTTCCGCATACGTTAATAGCAAACCAATACCGGAATGAGCAGTTGCAGATTTTCTGAAATCGCCAACTTTCCAATTAAAAGTGGAACCGCTTTACTTTTCGCTATAACGTGAAGGGCATCTTCTGAAAGTGCGGTCAGATAAACAACAACCCATGCAACTTCTGTTGCCAATTCATCATCCCTAAACATGTTTCACAAACTAATCATTTAGCAATCAGTTGAGATGTTCTAATCGCACTAAGAAGAAGGAAAATTTACTTACATAGCACATAATTCTTATGTATTTATATTTCTCGCACCGAAACTTTCATACATAAAAAATAGCACTATTACCAGTTTTTAAAAGTGAAATCGACCTTTTCATGCATAGGTTTAAAGCACAAAAAATGCTATGTATGTAAATATGATAGTTTATGTGTGTGATATGTGAATACATAAGAACAGTGTGCTATGTATGTAAAATTCCCCCCAAAAAAAAGTATAAGAGTGAGAGCAAGAGGGCATGTGAATCCTCGGAACATTATAAGTGAGAAGAATAGTAATTGGATTAATACAATAGAGAAACCTCAACAATCATGAACTACTCATCAACTTGCCAATGAAGAAACAAAACAGGGAAATATATGTCCAGAGGTAAAATATTTCAAAGAAAGATAAAGTTGCGAGGAATACTTGTTATTCGTTATTGACATCATTATAATTACCCTTCCCCATACTATTTGGGGTTAGCGTTATGCATAACTTTAATGCAGAACTCAAAGTCTACAATGGTTAGCAATGCAATATATTTTGAGAAATCAAGTGGTAAAATATTTACATATTTGTGCATAAGTTCAAAACAATCAGTTCTGACTTCCGTTTTTTGCATCCAAACAGTACTGTATGTTCAATTATCAATATTGAATATGTTATAATATCCAGTTCAAACGGTTTATTCCTCGGGATCCTGATTTCCCAAAAAAAAAAAAAAAAGATAGATGTATGCCTTTAATTCAAAATTCAATGATCTGCTAATTATTCTTAGATTTATGTGAATCACAGTCTACTGTTATTGGAGCAAAATGAACTTACAATGATCATTTTAAAATTTGAATTTTCAAAAATTATCATTGCCTAACTTTTAACATCAAATGATGAACCAATCTAAACATGCTGAACTTAAAAACAAGGAAATACAACTTATTGAAAAAAGGAATTTATCCGAGAAGTTTTAATTCCTTACACAGTTAATACATCAGTGAAATCAAAGAAAGATGAAGTTAATATATATGTGTACCCAACACAGCAACTAATAAATTAATTGTATTATATCAAATTCCGATCCCTAAAGTAAATTTATCATAAATTGATTTAATTAGTGACGCAAGAGCTTCCCTCCACGACTGCAATAGTGATATAGTAACTTGTAGCAATTTTGCAATTCTAGCTACAACAGTGTGACAATAGTGCGGGCGTAAAAAGCTGTGCGAGCCGATCCAGCAATTTCTCTCATTTGGACCTAACCGGTCCAGACCTAAAAGGGCCGACTGGCTCTCCCATGGTGGTTTGGTGCCTCCTTTCTATAGGGGGATTCAATCATAAATATCTAGAGCTTATTTATGTGATTCATTTGTTTGAGGTATTCAATTTTTGTGTTTCTTTCTTAGGAAAGTTGTTGGCGTCCGTTCTTCTCCCTTCGAGGGTTGTATCCGAGGGATTGGATGATGCTCTGGCTATATCTCTCTTTCGAGGAGGTGGTTATATTCCCCTATCCTCTTCCGCACTCCTTGCTGTCCTGGATGGTGGCATCCCCGCTGCAGCCGTCTGGAAAAGCTGCACTGCTGTTTCTTCCTGCAGTTTTCCATCTTTAAGCCGGCGCCAGCCTCTTTTCTGCTTGATGCCGCCATCCAGGACAGCAAGGAGTGCTGTCCTTGCCTTTTCTTGTCTTCTCTGCCACTGTGCCTTCCTTTCCAACGTGCCGCCGCCTCCAGAACCTGCGCCCTACCCCTTATCACATGCCGCCACCATCGAGAATTCACCTACCTCGCTGCTGCAACCATTTCAGCAGCCCTTACCACCACCCTCCACTACCTAGCTGCTATCCCAACTATTTCCCGTGTTGTCCTCGCTGTTCCAGGCGCCCAAATCCATCCCTGTTCCGCCTTAATGTTGTTTCAGCCCTCGACAAGCCCTACCACAACTCATCCACCTTCTAGAAACCTTACTTGCTAAATTTTCTACATCCCAACACCCTAACTAACCCATTCTAACCCACCTCGCCGACATCCATCATCCTTGCGATACATTTTAGTAGCGTTTGTTTGTTTCTGTAGTTGCATTTCCCTTTCAGGGTGTGAGTTAGTTTCCTTGGCAGTCGGTGGCAGCAATAGGTCAAGGTGGCTACTGGGTAGGGGTTGGAATCGTCGAACAGCAAGACGGCAGCCACTGGGGATGACTGGTGGCAGCGAGAAGGCGGGAGAATTGCGGAGATAGTCACCAACCCAGACAAAATTACAGCCAAAGCACCTTCTCATCGTTACATACAACCCTCGGAACGGGAAAGCCCCAGAGGCAGAATTCTGAACTCATAAACAATAAACAAACTCGCTTAACCTAAGCAAACATCACACACACACACACACAGATAGATATAGCTTATGAGATTTCAGCAGATCAGAATGTGGGGACAGCTCTGGTTGAAGCTTTTCGACATGGGGACTACCGGACAAGGCAAATTGCAGAACATGCCCTAAAGCATGTTGACAAGTTGCCTAATTTTTCTGCAATATTTCCGAAGGTTGGGGCTGATTTGTAATGGTGGACAGAAGCTTGATTGTGGTATGTATGTATGATTTTTTTCAGATATCTTTTTTTTTCCCTTAAGACTAGGTTGCTTTGATTTCGTTTTTGTTTGAAATATTGGTAAAAGATTCCTTTTTTGCTCATAATGCTCATTATTTGTTCGAATATATATATAGATATTAGTGATTAGTATATAAAATAAGCAAAGAGTAGAATAGGAAAGAAATATAAAAGGAAGAGGAATAGAATAGACAAGGAACCAAAAGGGAAGGGAATAGGCGGGCGGTAATTTCCGCCCCATGGCTTGGGCGGCCGGTCCAACTTCCCTGTTTGACAAGTTCCCTGCCAAAGCCCCGCGTTAGTTTCCTGGGATTAGGGGTGCTTTGACTTTATTCGTCAAAGCTTCCGGAGTTTCATAGTATGGTGTCAGGTTCGCGACATTAAACATAGCGGAAGCCTTGTAGTTTAATGACAGATCAATCTTATAGGTATTGTCATTCAGCTTCCGAAATAATATAAAAGGTTCAACCGCTCTGGGCTTGAGTTTCCCGAAAGCTCCTATTGGAAATCGCTCCTTCAGCCAAATCCAGACGAGGTTTCCTTGAAACGTCAACTTCTTCCTGGACTTATTCCCCGCGCTTGATATTTGTTGTTATGCTCAGTAATCTCCTTTTCAACCTCGTGGAGTTTCTAAATCTTGTGAATCAGTTCTTAAACATCCTCAATGATCTCTGATGTCAGCAGGACTGATACCAACTCAACTGGCAGAAGCGGGTTATGCCTATACACAATCTCGAACAGAGTGTGTCTTATATTCTGAACCACAGATCAGTTGTATGCTAACTCAATTTAAGCTACAATTAAGTCCTACTATTTAATACTCTTTCCCACAAAGCACCTCAGAAGGTTTCTTAGGCTTTTGTTTACTACCTATGTCTGAACGTCCGTTTGTGGATGATCTGTTGAACTGAATTGGAGCTTGGCGCCTAGCTTCCCCCACCAAATCCTCCAAAAGTGGATCAGAAATTTGTCGTCTCTATCTGAGGAGATGGTCCTAGAAATCTCATGCAAGCACACGATATCTCTGAAATATAAATCAGCGATAAGAGATGCGTCCAATATCCTGTGGTAGGGTACGAAATGTGTCATCTTCGAGTATCGGTCCACCAAAATCATCACCGAACCCTTGTTCCTTTGTGTCCTCAGAAGAACCATCACGAAGTCCATGTTAACATCCACCAACGGTGTCGCTGATACTGCTAATTGAGTGTACAACCCAACATTCTACCCTCCTGTCTTTGTCATATGACAAATCCTGCACTGTTTGACGTGTTGCTCCAAATCTCAAAAATGCTCTATCACGAGGGCGAGAATCTCGTCCCTACCAAAATGTCCTATCAATCCTCCACCATGACTCTCCTGAATAATGGCCTTTCTCAGTGTGCGTCTAGGAATGCACAACTTACTCTGGTAGAACAAGTAGCCCTCTGCTTGATAGTACTGCTCGGTCTCCTTTTGTTGACGTTGCTCCCAGATTTCTTTGAAGTCCTTATCTGTCTTGTATAAGTCATTTACTACCTTAAAACCCACAACTCGAGTCTAAATCAACATGATCACTAGGTGACAATGGATCGGTGCCTCTACTACACAGTTTCGGCTTCCCACCTATTGCTCAAGCACAAACTGGATGATGCTAAAAACTCGACCCAGATGGTATGTCGGCCCTTCAGCTTGCTTTGAGTGTTGAGGAATTTTAAGGCTTCGTGAACCGTAAACAGTGTGAACTTGCTCGTCATTAGGTAATGACTCCAGTGCTACAAAACACTTACAATAGCATAAAATTTCTTGTTGTATGTTGAGTACATCCTTCTGAAATCATTCAGCTTCTCACTAAAAAAGGAGATAGGGTGACCCCGCTAGCTCAACACTGCCTCTATCCCCACGCTAGATGCATCACACTACCTTGAACAGTTGGTTAAAATCTGGTAATGCTAGAATGGGTGCGCTGAAGTTTAATAAAATATAATGGGGATTAGTAAATAAAATAAAAAATGAGTAGAATAGGAAAGAAATTGAAAATAAAGGGAAGTAGAATAGGTAAGGAATCAAAAGGGTAGGGAA